GGTCGATTGATCAATAGAAGAAGCAAATGAACCATGTCGTTTTTTAGTCAATGTACCTGCTTCGTTGTTATTAATAATAGTCGAATAAGAATCTTGAGAAGAATCAAAAGATATATTCTTCTCCATTTCTTCAACTGGTTCAATATTTTCTTCTTCATTTATAGTAGAACATTTATTTTTCATCACTGTACATTTTCTTGCCTTTAGATGGCGATAATAGTTGAATACCTGGAAAAAGAAAAATACATATTTTTATTTTCTTTAAAATGTATACAATGAAAAAAGTTTGCGTAATCGTCGTTTCTCTGTGTTACTAATGTTTTTCTTTCTATTTTTAACAGAAACTATTTATCGGTCACCCTTAGAAACTGCCATAATTAAATGAATATAATGATTAGAAAAAGGGAGGGTGTGGGTGTGGGGTGTGGGTGTGTGGGTGTGGGTGTGTGGGTGTGGGTGTGGGTGTGTGGGTGTGGGTGTGGGTGTGGATGTGGGTATGGGTGTGGGGTGTGGGTGTGGGTGTGAGTGTGGGTGTGAGTTGAGTCTGGATTCACACCCACCCACACCCACATTTCTACCATTCTTTTGTGTATGTATTATTTATTTTCATATTTTTCAACTTAAAAAAAATCTACTTTAGTATGTTTGTCTTGGAACATTATCATCGAATGAAAGTCAATTATCATCAATTGATGATAATGCTCTTCTCTCGGCATCATTATCTTTATCTATATTAACAAATCAACAATCACGTGAATTAAAAGATTCATCTGATGATGAAAATAGTCAAACAATATTATCAAGTTCTCCACAATCTAAAATAGCAAATCAATTAATAAAAAATTCTCATACAGATGAACCATCAAGATTACCTGTTGATGTATCAGTTGATTATTGGACTATAATTGATAATCAAAAAGAAAAAAAAGATGGAATAAGAACAATAAAATCATCATTAAAATCTAATATACGTGTATTAACAATAACAAGACAATTAACAATGAATTCAGATGGAAAAATATCATCTTCATTTACAGTGACTTATGTTACACGTGAAAAAAAAACAAAAAAGTAAATTATTATATAAAAAACAAAAAATAATCGAAAATTTTCAAATGATTATTTTAGTTATGAAATTTGGAAAAAAACTCAAAGATATACAAAATACAAAAATGATTGAACCTCAAACAATAACCGGTATTAATCGAATTGTTTGTACATCTAAATCACATAATGTTGAATTGAAAGGTATGTTAATATGTAGAATTCTCTATGAACCAAAGTCTCATAGAACAAAATAATAAAACACACTTTGAAGGTTATATAGAAAAAGATAGACGATGGACTAGAAACTCATATGAAATTTAAATTCATTTGTTGGAGTAATAAGAAATTCACTAATTGCTGGAAGTCAGTGAGCTGAATTTTATGTTATTCATTGATTGTGATATACGAACTGCAAGAATTGTTTATAAAACACTTCAAATTAATAAAAGTCTCCTTTTATTAAGTATTTTGTATTAAGGGCCCCCTCCCCTCCCCTTAGAAATGAAGTCCCACTTGGGACCCTTCGTTTGGGCTGAAATTTTCAGGGATGATTGGTCTTAGTGAGAAACGCTTATGATAAAAATTTCAGCTTCACATGTCCGACTAAATCGCAATTTTGATTGGTTTTCCTACCTTTCAGAAGAATTGAAATAACTCCGCCCAGAGAAGGGATACAGAGCTCGGGTTGATTTCAAATTGTAGCTAGCCTCTGTACGCAACTTTTCATCGGACGGAATTTTGAAAGTCCCTTCCATTCATTTTTTACGAGCGATTTTGTGGGCATGTCTGCAAAATAAGCATAAAAAAGTGTGGTTCGACGACAGTAAATTCCACTTTTCTCAGCCCTGGGGTTCAATATCAAAAATCCGTCCGATGAAAAGTTAGCTCTAATCAAGACATTTAAAAAAAAATTATTGGTTATAGCTTGAGACAGGACGGAATTATTTCAATTTTTCTGTCTGGAAACCGTATTTTGAGAAAAACGCTAAAGAAATTTTAGAACTGGATTTTTTCATTCAAATCCAGAAAAAATCATATTACAATGGTATATTATTAATTCATTCCCGTGGATCGTTTTAGACTACGTAAGAGATGAAGGTAACTATAATGCCATCTGACATGTTGGGTAATATAAAAGTGTTCTACTCAATGCCAATGCAAGTGACAACGCAGTTTTTTTAAAACTGAAACACCTGAAAATTTCTCCGAAAATATGGTAGTAGAGTCAAAGTTTTATATGATAAGTCTTTGAAAATCCGGTCATTTTCCAAAAAGCTATATATATTCTGAAAGAGGAAGCTTCGCCGCATCTTCCTGTGATAAAAACTTAACTTCGATATTCCCTTGAAAAATTCGATTTTCTAAGGGGGGGGGGGGGGCCTTAATATATGTATCATCGAATTGGTAATTTGATTGAATACGCCTATTATTCTTCAATCTTAAGATCATTTTATTCAAATTACCATGAGAAAATACTCTATTCACTTCATATAGAAAAGATTAATATGGAAAGATCGCCAACTGACGAACGTCGATTGAAGCATTTTTTTACTAATGAGTAGCGTTCAGTGAGATTAGAGAAAGTCTGAAAGGGCAAAAGCCTTTAGACTTTCTTTCCAAAGTTATAACTGCTTGAATGAGTTTTCAGCAAGTGAGCCAGATATTCGTGAAGACGACATTCAATGATCGAATTTCTATTTGAGATTTTGTAAATATGTATATTGAATGACTTTAAGAAGATCCTAAAAGTTTTGACCGAAATCAATGCTTCCTTCTCAAGATATTCTATTTGTATGAAAACTCGATATTTCTAATCTTCTTATAAAGGATCATTTTGAAAATTCTATAGCTCGAGAAGGAAGCATTCATTTTGGTCAAAACTATCAAGATTTCCTAAAGACCATTATATGTACTTATGGACAAGACTTCAGATTGAAAACTTATCCAATAGCCTTTGCTCTTTCAGTTTTTCGCTAATCTCACATATGAGAAGAAAACTCAGTGAAATCAGTGTTTGTCAATTAGAGACCTTCTCTTGTAAGTGTTTTTAAAGTTATCTATCTCAAATGATTAAAATAATTTTCTTATTTTCGTTAATATCGATGGACAAGAATGGGATAATGTCAAATTTTTTCAAATCTCATCTCAATGGCATACACATATTAAATATTTTCCATTAGCTTTGTTTAATGATATACGGAATACTTAATAATGTTCATAAGATTCCAGTCAATCAGAACATCATACCATCATATCTTTTTACAATAGGTTGCTCTTTTTTGACACCAGTTTTTCTTTCGTTGTCTTTTGTTGTTTGATTTATCTTTTGTTTTGTATATTCTTGTGTTTACCTATGTGACAAAAAAAAATCTGATTTGTATACAGGCTGGCCAGATCTTCTGATTTTTCAGAAATTTTCTGATTTTGAACACTTTTTCTGATGGCTTTCTGCTTTCTGATTTTTTCTGATTTTCCTAATTTTCATTTCTGCTGTTTCAAACGTGCTAGTTCGTTCTCATATGAATGCTTAGTTTCAATATATATATATTTTTTATTGTCAAATATTGTTATTATTTTTTTGTTTATCATCTACCAATAAACCAAACGAAATCAGGGCATAAATTATATGTTGAACGAAACATGTTTGTCTACTTGCCGCATTCAAATCCGCTTTCTGATTTTTGAATTTTTTTTTCTGATTTTGAATTTTTTCATCTGGTCACCCTGTTTGTATATATGCTTATCTTGTTTTCAGATGCAATAATAATACTTATGTTGTAAATATATCTTATTGTACAGAATGAGTTATAAAAGATATTTCGAATTTAATGATTGAATATTGTTAAATATATAAGGAAAATAATCAAACGTTCATGATTGAAGTATTTATGTCATATGATTTATGATGATTTCGATAGATTATAGAGTCTTTTATTCAAATAGATGTCACAGATTAATGCGTTAGTAATTGTTTTGATTTCTCTTGTTTGTCTACTTATCATTGGTCTATATTAGAGTGTAGACGTATGAAAAAAAAATGATTAGCTGAGATATAAATAGTACAGATTAACCAATATGACGAAATATTATTGTTGCTAGTTAATTCAATATTTACAATTTTGAATTAATAATAAAATGATAGTATGAATTAAATTTCAATTTGAATGAAAACTAAAATAAATTCGTGTTTTTTTTTTTTTTAGATTTTCTTTTTCTTTCGATTAATAATGAGAGAAACTTTGATTATTATTTTTTCTATTTTATTAAATCAAATCTGTGGACAACAAATGGAACTTATCGCTGGTCATGTAGTAAGTTCGATTGTTTCAAAGAAACAAAAAAAAACGATAATCAAAATTTGACTTTTTTCCTGTATTTTAGTTATTTAGGCATGGAGAGCGAACACCTGTTAAAACATTTCCAACAGATCCAATACAAGAAAAAGATTGGCCTAATGGGTATATTATTAAATTTTTAGATTTTCATGAATTTTTGTTTTTTTGTTGATTCTAGTTTTAATCAATTAACGATTGCTGGTATTGAACAACAATATCGTCTTGGGAAATATCTTCGTAGTCGTTATAATTCAATCCTTAGTACAAATTATGTTACTAGTGAGATTTATGTTCGTTCAACTAATTATAATCGAACATTAATATCAGCTCAATCAAATCTTATTGGTCTTTATCCATTGTACAATATTTTGCATGATAAAATTCCAATTCATACTGTATCAATAGAACAAGATTTTGTATGTTATTTTCTAAGATAACAAAAAAAAAGAGAGAGTTGACTTTTTTTTTCTTCATTTAGTTACTCGGTATTAATAATTGTCCGAGATATGATCAAATTCAAAACGGCACTTATCAAAGTGATGAATTTAAAAATATGAATACATATTATGATGTACATATTCAATTTTTATTTTATACTTATGAAGGAACCCATCTGATTGATATCTACTATTTGATCTCATGTTTTGCTTATAGACAGCACTCGTCATGTACATAAAAACCTTGAATAGGTTCATGTCAATAGATGTTTCTTCTTGAATTGTGTTCGTTTTATTGAATTTTCAGCCGATTGCATGGCATTACGAAAAATTGAGTAACAAAGAATTTCCGTTTGAAATTTTTCATAAGAATAGATCTTCTGGTCTTTATGATATTCGAAAAATTTCAACTTAAACGGATGATTTATTCATCTTACATTGGATGACTAAAAATTGGACTATTTTTGGAGCCTTCGCAAGAAAATAGTGTTTTTTGCCTATATTTTTTATCTCTTCAGGTCGCGATCATTCCGGAAATTCATAATAGTGTCGTAAATAACTAAAAAACAGCTTCTTTAATACACGAGTTTTCAGCGTATTTCGCTGTAATTCATCATCTTATTTTACGAGCCATATTTTGCTAGAAAATGACCATTGTTTTTCTCACTATTTTCACCATTCTATGTGACTAAGAGAAACAGCAACGTCATAATACTGCTTTTCACCATCTTATAATGTTAACGACTGTTTACAGCGCTGTTTTTGTCGATCTACATCGAAAGAGAAATCTCTGCGATTTTGGAAACCTTTAGAGTAGGATGATGGGCATAAGAGTTTTTTCTTAATATCCTACAATCGGCTGAAAATTCAGTAAAATGAGCATAATTCGTGAAGAAAGGCCTATGGATATGAACCCTTTTAGGACTTTTATCCACAGAATGAATCTTGTCTATGAGCAAAATATGAACTCAAACGGACGGTATCAGTCAGATGTGTTGCTTCATTAATTAAGAATCTTTTTTCTTTATAGCCTTTCTTTAAAAAACTTCAAATATGGACAAATATAACTGAAATTACTATGTTTAATGCTTTGGATATTGCTGATACAATTTTTTTTGCAGTAAAAATAAAGATATCTAAGTTGTTTTAAATTAGATTTTGTTTTGTTTTCTTTTAGCATATTTACAATAAAACACCAGCATGGGCTGATGAAAATGTTCGAAAAAATTTATCTAATATTCATGATCTTTCGTTTCATTTTCTTTATTTAAATAATGATAGTAAACGAATACGAGGAGGTTTGCTAATTAAATTATAATATATTCCATGATAGAAAAGATTTATTCACATAGGTCCATTGATACAAGATATTTGGATAAATATGAATAATTCAAGTCGTGGAGGAACATATCGAAAACTTAAAATGTATTCAGCTGTAAGTTAAAAATGATTTTTCATAATTTGAAATTCAACTATTATTTCTAGCATGATACAACAGTTAGTGCAGCTCTTGCTTTTCTTGGTATTAATTGTCCACAGCAACCATCAGTAAAGATAGTTTTATTTGATTTTATTCATATCTTTGTTATTGTTTTTAATTTAGTATGCATCAGCATTATTTCTTGATCTTTATAAACGAAGTGAAATTTTATTTTTTTTAAATTAATAAAGTAATTTTATAGTTTATTGTAGGTTCAACATATTATATTAAAGTAGAATATTTAAATGTAACAGATTCAAATAAACCTTATCCGTATCTATTAGATAGTTGTCCAACATTGGAATGTCCGTTAGATACGTTTACAGCTATATATAGAACTCGTTTTCCAGCAAGTGCTGAAGTTGAATGTGCGATAATAGTTCCACCAAGTAAGGTCATATATTGCTGATTAATGAAACTAATTGATTTATTTAAGATGATGGAAATAATAAGAAGATGACAATAATTTTGAGTGTTGTTGTTTTTGGTCTTGGTATTATTATCATTATAATATTTGGGTATTTCTATTTACGAAGAATAGATCGTGGTACACCTCTTTTATCAACTGAATCCCGTTCACAAACAGATTGAAGCTTTCAAAGACATTTATTCTGTAAACTAAGATCTCATTGATGTGAAATGTATTTTTTTTTCTGTGGATATTATTTGATGGAGACTACTATTTTTTTATTTTAATCATCTTTTTTTTTGAAGGACATTAACTATCAGGGATTTTGTTCACTGAAAGATAGAAATAAATAAAGGGAAAAGAATAATAAGCTTCATTATTTACTAGTTTTTGTTATTTCATGTATAATTGAATAATAAATATTCTGGTACAATGAAGAATTTATAATATATCATGACAGATAATTCGATTGTCGTGACATACAGTATGCATAATGATGCTATTTAACTTTTGCTGCATCATAGAGAAGTTCAATTAGTATTTCGGCTGCAAAATGATAATAAGAATCAAGATTTCATTAATACCATTGTGATTCATAACAACAAGAACAAGCATTTTGAGAAAAAATTTAGTTTTATAGACAACAACTCCACAAATTCTAGTCCTGTGAAAAAACTAGTTGGAAAAATGAAAGAAATAGAAAATCATGTATTTGGCATTCTTCGTCTTCTTGCTGCTTGGCGTAAATTTCTGTTGTTCTCAATCATTATAGGCTCGGTTCTATACATCTCAATTAAAGTTAGCAAGAAGTTCGTTTTATCATAGCTACTCAGATCCTCCATTGATATGATCGTAAACGACCGTTCACTGTTGTTTACGATAACTTTAAAACATCTAAACAATGAAATTACGATTGTATGTCATCGCATTGTACACGGCTAAATACGGGCATAGTTTACAGTGGCGTCTGTGCCGTAAAATAATCGTATTTACACATAAACAACTGTATACCACCATAATATAGGCTTGAGTTGTAGTTGACTGTATGTGGTATGAGTCGATGATTATAGATTTTAGAATTGCCATTACAGGTAAAAGATAGCAGCATAAGTAAGCAACCGCTAAGACTAGCAAATGTTTTTATGTGTTTATGACTATTTAATCTTTTTGAAGTCCTTAGGGTACTAGAATCAATGAACAATAAGTATTCTTCATTTATTTTATTTTAGTTTAGCAATTATTTACTTTAAATTGTTATTGTATTTTATTGCATGAGCAGCGGATGGAACAACAAACGAGCAAAACGATTGTCCGGTCAACGTGTTAGTGAGAGCATAGATGGCTACGGGCATGAGTGTGGCTCTGAATCTGGTGCTGGATCCTGATGTAGATGTAAGCTTAAAGAAGACTCACACACATTGCACACTTGCACTTACATTCATACCCAGTTAGGCTCATACTCAAACTCTCATACACACATCAACACACTCTTACCCTAAACACCTCTGCCGCACTCCCATCCCTCATGTCCCACATCCAATCCTTTAGAAAGACCATAGTGTAATCTCTTTTCGCGAACACGTATTCTATTTAATATGAAACACATGAAGGAAACAACAAAGTTTATTCGGAAATTGAGAACGATGAAAATTATCATAGTGTTTTACGGTTAATTAAGCTTTGTAAGTTATTTTTAAGTACGGTAGAGCTTGTCCATAGCGATAGACAACATATTCAATGTATTGGAATCCAGTTCCTTTGACGGAATGAAACCCTTGTGGTGCCGAACGCAATGCGTTATTAGGTGCATTCTGTGACAATACGATTCCTAGTGTGACTTTATTATAAAACATCACACGTGTTTGAGTAGGTCCTTCGACGCTTGTAAAATTGTACGATTTACGAGGATCATCAGCAAAATAGGCACCGTGACCTAATCAAAGATACCAAACAAAAGTGTCAATTGAATCAAGGAATCATGTCATATTTGAGTTCTTCAAGATTCAAAAGATGGCCTTTACTCTTTTCAGCTTATACCTTAACCACTCAATTAGAAACAAAATATCATTTTTTTTTGAAGTCAGTACATTCGAAAAACTTATCGTGAATCCTTTAACTATTCTTTACAATAGATCACTTCTTTCTTTCTAATAGCTTCTGAAAATAGATGAGTAAAACAGTACGACAACAGATGTTGATAGGATGTCTATCTCATTCATAGAAACTTTTCTATGAGTGTATATTGAATAGTATCAGTTATGTTTCTAAAAGACAGGAGCTATTCTTGTTTCGCGATGCGGTTTTTTTTACTCGAGTTGACCTACTATGAGTCCGTTTAATGGACAAGTTAAAGGTTTCGAAATAGATCTCAATGCAAATTTGACACTAATAATTAATAGTCAAGTAAAATGCCGTAACCATTTCTATATAGAAAAATTTTCGAGATTTTCGTGAAATCAACATCGTTCCAACAAAGAAAGTATTCTGTGTATCTATTTACGAGTCTCATGAAGATACACTTACCCCATGCTCCGTTCGGATTGAAAAATCTATCATCAAAACCATCTTCTACTATACCGTTGATTATGGGGGCCATGTGTACCATGAAAAGTTTTTGTTCATTTGGATTATATCCTTGACTTTTACATTGTTTAGCAATGGTTTTTTTCATTGCTTCATATGTGTCTTCCAAAAGAGGATTTTTTATTGCTTCAATAGATACAATTCGTACTGAAGATCCGATCTGTTGCATTTGTTGTGATAATGCTTGATACAAAGTTGATGATGTTGGTAGTGGAACAAGAACAGCATAATGTTTTAGAGGAGGCGGTGGTATGTAATTCATTGACTCTCCAGTTTGTGTCCATTGACGTAAAGTCATTTTCTGAATGCGATCTGTGATCAATTTATCAATTGGACGAAGAACTTGAAAATGTTTACTTTTGATATTCTCAACAATAGTTTTCAATTCAATTAAATATGGAGATCGTGTTATATCAATGCGCATTCCTATTTCATGCGGGTAATCTTTTTCCAACAAAAGATTGCTAACATCAAAATCGATACGATCTTGTGTTAATGCAACATGTGGCTCGATTAGATCCATAGTAAATGGGCCGGTTGGTGCATCTTTATCTATCAATAGTACATATCTCCAATCTTCTCGAACAACTTCGCATATAATATTGAATTTGTGTAGTTCATCTTGAAATTTATCAATATCAAAATAAGCATGCAATGGCAGATGACAATCTAAATCTGCTGGAACCACTTCTCTATACATATATGGAATCTTCTTCCCATTTGCCTTTGTTACATATTGAATCCAGTCTTGCGGATTATTTATCAGACCAGCTGGACGAGATGCATAATTACCCACGACCCAATCTCGAACGAAGCCACCTTCTAATTTACAGTAAAATTTGCAGACAGCTATCCAAGCTACCACTTCCATACGTGATTCACGAGTTGCATGTGTGCCTTTCACACCATTATATAGGTCGACCATCGTTCGTTCACTATCAGTTATACGTGCTATTTTTTTTCTATATCAGGATGAAGTTTACGCATCTGGGAACGAAGAAGACGCGGTAAAACACCTAAAATTGTGTGAAAGCAATTACATGATCATAATCGTTTTCTTTTAAAAATAATCATATTTATACGATAATGATTGTTCCACTTACCTGCATTCGGGTGTCGGATAACAACACAGTATTTTAACCAATTCAGGAACGAATCGAACTCGTTTTTGACATTTTGATTTTCGGAATCTCGGCCTTCGACAACAATCTCACAAGTTTTTCTAGCAGGATTATTATTAATCATTATTTTAACTTGTTTCTGAGTTTCCCAACGCCATTTCATTGGATTGAATATATACGTCATTTTTGTAACACTTTCGAGATTTGTGGATAAATTATTATAATAGGTTGTATTTTGTTGACAATCATTTTTCAATTCAAATTTCATAGTAGTCACCATCTCTTCTCGTAAATGTAATTCATTATTAAGAACAGTGCCCGTCGTTCCAATTAATGAACTAATCGGTTTTTTCCGCAGTTGATCAATCCATTTTGAGGCCTTCGACTTAATACGTGACCATATACTCTTACTATTTAAATAAGTTTCTTCTTCGGAACTAATTTCAATTTCACGTTTCATATTACATCGAATCCAGGAAGGTTTTATTTCACCGACAAATGAAAGAATAGGTCTCGAACGAACAGTCGTTGCATAACGAATATCTCTTGCTAATATGACACTAATGGGTGCTTGACTTATTGGACGTGTAAGCGTTGATTGAAGATCCAAGATAGCTATATCTTTTGTGTTTTTGTATCTAACAAATCGATGAGTTCTTTCATGTAGTTCTTTCATTGAAACAAACACGTTGTCAGAATAGCCAGCTAACATTGACTTTGCTATGAGTTCCCACTTTTCAGATCGAGACTGAGCTTTTTCACAATATGTTTTTGATAGATTGAATGATCTTTCTAGATTTTCATAACGTCTCATTGCTTGGCCAATAATGTGTGCAACACTCGAAAGTCCTTTTTTTTACAGGCACGTTGAAGATTAAATTTATGCGTTGGAATAGATTGTTTGATCAATAAAACTTCATTCATAATATTTAATAATGTCATGAAATCGCCATCGGGACTTTTCATACTCTACGGTAAATCTTTTAGCACAGCTGTTGTATTTAAAACACTTAGAATAGATGACAGCCAAATGAGATCATGTCCACAGTTATAATCATTAAGAGCAGATAATACTGCTTTTGCCATCGCTAATGAACCAAAATTCGGCATTTTAGCGAGAAGTTCACCATGTGGTGTGAATTGATTGCTAGAAGCCGCTTCTAATATACCTGAAAAATCATCAAGACTAGCTCAGATTAATAATTGAATAGTATTTTAATCGAAATCCCAAAAGGAGCATCCGTTTCTAACAATAAATTTTTAGAATTTAAAAGTGTCTGTTTTTTGTACACTCGTGCTTATAGGACTGGTGTATTAAATGTACACAGTTATGAAACAATATTGAACAGAATTCAATTCAATCGTGCTATTCGAACTCTGTAATAAATCTCCATGATAGTTGGCTAATAAAATCGGTTGGTTTAGCGACTCATAAAGTCAATAATACAATCTTTTGACATGTCAATCAACATATGTGTTGACTGAGAATAATTGCTAACTACAATTCTAAACAGTTTCATGCTATTACTTTAATTGAGTGCGTATAGTTTGAAAAATACTACTATCTCTTTATCTAATGCATTCAGTACTTAATGACAGAAGAGTCAATTTTCAAATTTAGCTTTAGTTCTACCCGTTTGAAATTAATATGTCGGATCCCCAACCATTATTTTCATCATGCTTGTTAAATAAAGAAACAAGACAAAAAAGATATTCCACTTGATTCTAACGCAATTAACTATTATTTGATGACTATGTTCTAGAAGACTATTGACGTCTAGTTGTCAACTACGAGCTGAACTTGAAATCGTTTTATTCTATTATAATACAAACACGCAAATCGATAACATTCGATATTTAAATGATCACTCAGAATTATAAGCATAATTTTCATTCAATGGAATATATCAGAGATATTATTTGACCCCGAGTATGATCGTCAAAAAGAAACATTCAAAATATGCAAAGTATTTTTGATACTTAATCAATTAACGAAAACGAAACAAAATACATTCGTTCTTGCAATGTAGACTTTAGTACAACTTATTATTTAAATTTCAGTACACAAAACCATGTCTTCTTGATTGCGGGCGTTTTTCCTTAATTGAAAGAAAGAAATGTCCGCAAAGCAGAATCAGGAGAAGAGGGAGAGACAAAAATGATCGCAAATTGGAAAATGCTCACATTATGAAAACAAGTGAAAATAATTACAAGGAGACCATCAGCACAGATGGGTAGTTTCAGAGAGGATATTATCTTATTAGAGGTAGCCCAGTGAGAGACGTCACATGTTGTCCAGGTCATTCTTTTACATGTGCTTGTAATTAAAGTATTTCAAGTAACTGAAATAAAGTAAAACGAATCAAATCAAAATGTCGATCATTAGCTATAATAGCATTTCTGAAATTATTACACAATTTGGCAATGATGCCACAATATTGAAAAACTATCATTTTGGTTTGCGACGAACCAAAAAAAAAATGGAAGTCAAGTATGGATTGGTACACAAAAGCTATGTAATACCGCCATAACCATGCATGAATGTTCCATTGTAAAAACGTCACTTATAAAAGCTGGTGAAAATCATGAATTTCAACATCAAGAAAAAATGTTTTTAAATGTGTATGAATGCATCAAATCCATCAAACGAAGGATCGAAGAAGAACCCACAGCATCGGTATCATTATTATATGATCAACAAATTAAAAAATTTAGACGAGAAAATAGTAGTGTTGCTGCAGTTCCTGTATTTGATCGTGTTAAAGCATCATTATATGAATATCACTCGTTTCAACATCCACCAATATTCAACTCATTATCAACAATTGATGTACTTGATCGAGGGTGTGGGTGTGGGTGTGGGTGTGATTTAAGAGAGCCCACACCCACACCCACACCCACATCGATCCACATCCAATTCCAGGTTGAAAAATCTTTTAGAGATAGATTCAAAAAGATATCAGAAATTTCATTAAGAATTTCTCGAAAAGTCGTGCTCCTTTTTTTTTTTAATTCAAGACTAGTATAATCTTTAACTAGTATAGCCAGAACGTGACATTCGAAATCCTTTTAATCCTCAGCAATATACCATCAAAATAGAAAAATAACCAACTATCTCCTATAAACATTTCAGCCCAACTGAAGAAAATTTAACGAAAATCAAAAATGGCTTATATTGATAAACTCATATTTACGTCATATCAGAGGAAAAGATATGAATATGTTAGGTACAACATATTTTTTTAAATTCAATAATGCATAACACTAGGTGAGCTACTATCGAATGATGTCTTAAACTAAGACAATTGGAACTATTATCCTATATCACCAATTTAAAATTGATTTTCTGATCGGAAAAAGTAGAAACGATGTCTTTAAAACATTGTTAATCCGATATAAAAGGTGACAAATCAACAAATAAAACCGGAATGATGATGAACACGAGTTAAATTACATCTTTCCTAAAAGCGATATTGTGAATATAAGTTGATTTGAAGAAACTTTGTATATTCTGTTAAATTGATTTATATTATGGTAAGTGAAGGCACAAATGGTGACGTCATTGCCTTTAATAGATATATATTGTGTAGTGTTTTTGACTATTTTTTCATCTTTCTATAGACTGAATTGAAAGATGAGAATATTCTGAGAGAGCAAAAAGCATGTCTTTTTCACAGTCCATTGTATTAGTCGAATAAGAATTTTTTTCGTCAAAGTGATTTATTTTTTGAAGAAAAAAAAGAAAACGAATATAGAATGTTTTCTCATTCATTATAGAGAAGTATCATCTTCATGTGCGCTGATCATTGAATATTGCATGCCTATGTATATATATTATTACTATTTTGATATCATGTAGAATTTGTTAAATAGGTACGAATAAAAGGTTGTTTTGCTTCCATAAGATTCTGTTGTCAATTGATAAATCTCTGTATCACTCCATGTTTGATAACAAGCTAATTGGCTGTATTCTCAGACTACGTAGCCATGGTACCTTTATCTATTTAGCCGTACTTGGGTTGGGTACTCTTAACTTCTTAAGGCTGACGCGTAGAATCTATTCTGTCGCAGTTTGGACTCAAAAGTCTCGGGTCAAGATTTTGATAGAAAGTTTTATGAGAGTATTACACGTCGAGATTCGCGTCCGGATGCCAGAAAGTTGAATGAATTAGTCCCGAGTTCGGTAGCAATTTTGAAAAAAGCTCGAATAAATGGATCCAAATTCAGGTCTAAATGTTTTTAAAATGGTGAACCCTTCTTTTGTAGTAGTTATATCTACATCTCTAAAGTCCTTCCTGTACATATCATCTATAACTATTTGTTTCCAACCTGTGGATACTATTGGTAGCTTTTTGATATTCTTATTGACATGGCACCAACAATGATTCGCTCTGGATTTCGATATACAATATTGAGAGCTGTCTTTCAGTGTTCTATCAAGGTTGATATTGTTTTTAGTTTCGTATAGTGCGAGGAATATGTTGGTAGCTGCCTTTTTGTATGTTGCTTGAGAAATATGTTGAGGATAGCATCGAAGAACGTTGTATATATTTTTGTAGTATTGAGAATAGCATGAATTTTCGTCGTAGACTCCCAACAATGGCCGAAAAGGTATTTCCTCATTTCAGACACTGTCCTCATTCTTACCAAGTGTTGTGTGTGCGTGTTAATCATGTCAACAATATATTAATTGCATTTAAAGTAAAAAAAAATGCTACTAAAAATCAACTGCGAAAGTCGTTACGACGAACTTCCTGTTTCCCATCAATCAGTACTCCACTAATTATTGTCACACTAATTAGTAATGATTTAAATAGTTGAGACTAATTAGTATTCGATCACTGGATACTTAACTAATTAATTAATTAATTATTAACTACTTAGACAATATATAATTGTAGAAATCTATGTTCAACTTTGAAGAGGTCTGCCCGTGATAAATAATTCTCTCCTAAAACACGTTTCTCTTGGTATGTATGTGTGTGCATATCGTTGTCTGTTGCTATCGTACACCATCACTAACATTATCGTTCAAGGATTATTGTACATGTAGGAGCAGAAAGGAGTGTTGAGACTTACACATTGTGATAATTTTTGATGAGCTTTATTATTCTTTAATGATAAAGTCAATCGATATTTTCAAATATTCGAGCTATTCTTTTTTTTTCTTATTCTTTGACTATTGACTAATTCTTATTTTAGATTATTTAATATGAAAATATTTTATTTTAAAGAATTTATTATAGAAAAATAAACCCTTTCTTATTTATATAGTTTCTTATAAAATAATAAACAAAGATTCTATTCTTGAATATTGTTCAATAAGTAAATAAAACATGTTTATTTTTTGATTTGTTAATTTGGAATCTTTAAGTAAAATTTCTTAAATGAAGATTTAATGAATGATCTTGAAGATGAGTTGATATCATTTTCTGTTCTGTCTATGTCCTTGAGCTTGACAATTGTTTTTTTTTTTGTCTGATGATTTGTCAAAGATAAAAGAATGAACAAGGTCATTTATTACAAATAAGACTACATCAAATTTTCAAGGACATTTCACCTTGAATAAATAAATAATTTCAAATGGACAAATAATATCATCAAAAAAATATTTTCTTTTTTTTTGGAATAACAAATTTCTCATTAAATCAAAATAAGTGAAAATGTATATCCTAG